AAAAAAAAAAGTCCTCTTTCAAGGTTGTGGTTCAAGGGGTTTGCTGTGAATCTTTACGATTTTTTTTTTTTTTTTAATTAAGAGTAATTTTATATTGTTAGTAATATTTCAAAATGAACACGTCATCAACCTGGGTTTACTTGATTATCCATACTTTTTTTTTTTATGTGAGTATCAAATATGATACATCAGGGTCTTGGGGAACATTTATTTGTACATTTGCACCTGTAATAAAAACTACAGATCTTTGAAAATAAAATCTAAGCATTTGAATCCGTCTTACGGAGACATTATTTGGAGATACAGATTGAAAACTGATCCATACAAATATTAGAAAATGCACCAATTTGCTCATTTTTGGACTCTGAAGTGTCGTCCAAACACCCCCTCCCCATGAGCTTCATATAATTTCTTATATCATACTCTATGAGCCATCAAAAAAAAAACATATTTTTTTAGATTTTGGCAGTGTTCAATAAACTGTTCCATTTTAAAAATGACAGTCTGTGTGCACGACCCCCTAAACCCCCTTTGACTTGAAATATAATGTCTATAACAAAATTCAAGTTACCATATACAATGTTCAGTGTAATTGTATTTTTAATGTGATCTTGATATCACAAGAACCCTTTGTGGCGAGAGCTTTTTTAGTCCTAAGTGCTCTGTTGCGGTTTCTTGGGGTTTTAGTCAATGGAAAAAGACAAGAGACACTTGTGATCTGGTCAACCGATTATATAAACAACCACTGGAATACTTGAGATTTCTTGCTTCTCTCCTCATGAGAAGACCCCTCATTTTCTTTAGTTCTGACTCCTGTTAGCAAACTTTACTGCAAAAATGATTCCAATCAGCCAAATATCTTATTTTATGATCTGTCACTAAATAACAGAAAGCATATTTAAATGTGTCAATGTTTGCAAAGTGGGTTAAATGTAATTTTTGTTGCAGTTCCTGTAAGTCTGCAACACTTGAAATTGATCCAAGCTTAAATGAGTGCAGAATATACTAGTATAATCATCCTGAAGTGCATAAAAACAGTGGAAAGTTCCTTTATCATAACAGCACCTCTAAGTAAACAGATACTTTATTAATACATTCTCTCTACATCCACCCTATCATGTCACCATGGCTACACTGACGTAAGAGGAGAGTATGGCTGACTCTGGAAATGTTTGTTGAGGTGAACGAGTGTGAAATGCCTGCTGTCTAAATAATGAATGATCATATCTCAGTGATTGCCATGATGATTTCGAGGCTGAAATGGGGTTCACAAGTGATTGGGTGAAAGTGAGACTCCATTAGGAGTTGAATGATTGGGAATTAGATCAGAGGATAACTGAACAGAAGAGGAGGTTTGCTTAGTAAATGTTTTATGCTGAAGTTGGGCAGGGGTTTGAACTTGCTTCATGAGGAGTGTTAAATATAAATAATAGAAATATAGCATAATTTGTGTGTCTTAACAGGAGCGCTTCCAAGTGAAGAATCCTCCCCATACATACATTCAGAAGCTCAGAAGCTTTTTGGACCCTGCCGTTACCAGGAAGGTGAGTTCCTTCATGTTACACATGCTGACTCCATGTCTTCCCATCTGCCATATTAATAGACCACTAAGATTTAAAGATCTTCTAGGCCTGGTATCCAAAATTCTGCAAGGGATGATAATCATTGTGTCCTTCAAGGCACTTGGAAGTTTTTGAGTAAAATAGCATGTATGACATGTGGATGTGTAAAGATGCCTTGAATTAAAAATGTATGCAAATAAGTCTGAGTGTGTGCAGAAAGACAAAAGCTACAAAGAGAAATGTCTCCTGCATATTTTACAGCTGCATCTAATGGAAGAAACCCCAAACTCTTAATTTGAATGTCCCATCCAGAAGTCCTTATTGAATTTAAAAGGGCCTGTTTTAATCCTGTTCTGTTCACACAGTTCAGTAATTTACAGGAGTGACAACTGCTTTCTACAACCAAATTAACTGAAAAATGCAGGCAGTGACGAAGCCATACAAAATTTCAATGCAGTGTGTATGGAACCGAACTGGACAATAAGTTGTTAATGATGTATTTAAATTTTAAATGCACATCAGAGATATTTCTCTCTTCTGTGTATGCTGTGCAAGAAATCACAAGGAAAGAGGTATGAGCCTTGACTCATTTGAGATGCCAGGATTGCATAATGTAATGTATTGCATAATTACACTGTAATGTTAAATGGCTATAATTAGTGTTTAAAAACAAATTATTTTCATCGAGACGTCAGTAGCAGTATTCATTTCAGTAATACTGGGATCCTAAGATGCCATTAAACAAGTATATAAAACAGTACGTCTTTGTGTTGTTTCTACATTACCGTTAATTTGGAGATTAAATTAATTATTACATTATAAAATATATTTAAAACGTATTTTTAATCACGATTAATCAGCGAAAAAATATGATTAATGTAGTTTGTTTTTTTTATCACTAGAATACATTTTAATAAATAATAATAAATAAGTTAGTTTTCCAAAAAAATGGATACGTTATCTTTAATGTCTATAAGTGTAACTGTTGGGTGGGTAAAAAAGATCCTTTTCAATATCATCAGGCTCAAGAAAATATGTTAAAAAATATAATAAAATAAGGCAATAAAAAAATAGATAAATGTAAAATATTTACTTCCCATTAAGCTGACATAACCCTTTAGAAATTAAAAATGTATTACTTATTTATGAATTATTAACAGGTTTTGGTGCTTTAATCTTTTTAATTACTTAAAACTGCAACTAATTCGCTCTCAGAATACAGCGTTTTTTATATTACAAAAGAAAAAATTCAAAGTAAATAATTTACACAGAATTAAATATATTTAACTTGCCTGACATCTTCATACTCCGATTCTAGTCAGAATATGACCTCAAATGTTGTGGGCGGGGCTAAATTCAGCTGGCATCAAGGCTAACATTTTTTCACATTACAAATAAGTCTCACACATGAAAATATGTACCTGTCTTGATATTTTCGGAAGGGGTTGCCTCACAAGGGGATCATCATATTTGGGGGATTTGTAGCATCAAAACTTTTGAAAGTCCAGAAGTGTCGCATTTAAACTTGTATGCAAATTGTTTCACACTGTGACTGGCTTTTGCAACGGTCCACTCAAGTTAAGTACATATTTGCTTAGAAATGGACATCTCTTCCTGTTTCTTCACAGAAATTTAGGAGGCGAGTTCAGGAGTCTACTCAGGTGCTCAGAGAGCTGGAGATATCTCTTAGGACCAATCACATCGGGTGAGTCCAGTCAATTAAGTTCATTTTCAGACTTTTGAGGTATTCAGTTGGGAAAAGGGCAGGTTATTCAATGTTTTGTTACTCACAGGTGGGTGAGAGAGTTTCTCAATGAGGAGAACAAAGGCCTTGATGTGCTGGTGGAGTACCTGTCTTTTGCCCAGTATGCTGTAACGTAAGTAGTTCCTTTTTCTTGTCAATCTTTATTTGAGTCATTTTTTGTCTTTACTTCTGTCTTTTGTTTTCTGTGTAAGCTTACTGCTCACTTACCATCTCAGTACACCTTGAAATTATAGGCGTTTTCACAACAGTCGAGTGTTGTTGCTGAAATCCTTTCACCTCACTGCTGGGTCACAGTTGCTTCTGAAAAATGAATGGGAGTGATGAATTAAATGAGTGCCTCTTTTAGCAGTGACAGAGAGTTTGATGGATGGGAATGTGTAAGGTGAATTTTGAGATCAGTGTGAAAACAAGGTCGAATACAATTTGAATAATTTCAGAATCTTGGGATATTAGTTTTAAGATGCCATGTCAGGTTAAAAATATATAAGCGTTAATTTTGTCACAGTATTTTTCATAATATTTGCCAGTTAATAAGTACCGGTAATTAAAGCGATACTACACTTTTTTTGGAAATAGGCTCATTTTACCACTCCCCCAAAGTTAAACAGTTGGGTTTTACCGTTTTCAAATCCATTCAGCCGATTTTCTGATATTTAGAAGAATATTAGTATACAGACAGTTTCTGGTCTCATTCACTTCCATAGTACATTTTTTTCCTACTATGGAAGTCAATATGAGACCAGAAACTGTCTGGTTACTGATATTCTTCTAAATATCAGAAAATCAGCTGAATGGATTTGAAAACGGTAAAACTCAACTGTCTAACTCTGGGGGAGTTGTAAAATGAGCCTATTTCCAAAAAAAAGTGGAGTATCCCTTTAAATGTATCATTACTGAAGTTCAAGTGTGGGTTGATGCTGAGCCAGGGCTGAATCCAGGCATGACAGGGTCTACTGAAATGTGGCATGGGTGTCTACTAGGGCTGTAACGATACTCAGGCACGGTGGTGGTGCGGTTGTCAAGTTTACCGGCACAGCCCTACTAATAGTAATTTAAAGAGATGGTAGCATTGGATCTGGATGGGAAGGATAACTGGGAGTTGGAAGAGGTGTCACGATTCTGCCTTCTCACACTGACACAGGTTTATGGATCTGATTTCTGATTTACTGAAATTTTGGTTTCTTATCACATATCGTTAGACCCCTAGTGTCTACAAACTCTAGACTTAAAACTCATCTATTTATCCAGGCTTATGTTTAAATCCCCATAGACTGCTACTAATCCTGCTACGTTTATTCTGTAGGCTGGGAACTATTGATCCATTCTTTATTAGAAGCTCTAACATTTACTTTCATTGTTTCTCAACTCCAGTCCTCAGAAGAACCCAACTCCCTAAATGGTTTAGATGTCTCCTTATTCAACACACTAAGAAACTGATGAGTTGATTCAGATCAACTGATTTTTAGTGAGACATCAGAAACACTATCTATGAGATCATGAAATCATTCCGATTGATGAATCTGAGCATAGTGTTTACATGAATGCCAGAAAAAGAGATGGGGTTGATGTGCACTTGTGTATATATATGCGACAAGTATCAAATCGGATTTGATCCGAACAGTTTTTCGCTGTTGTCGCATACTAACAATCCCCCTGGTCTTTCTTTTTAAAAGTAGACTTATAATTATCTATTTTAGGTCCCAATTTGAAGATGACGTGCACATGAACCTGTGTGTTGTGCTGCTTATATTTATCAAGCAGGAAAAACGAACCTATTCCGATTGTTGCGGTTACATATAACTTTTTTTTACGACTGGGCTACTAGTCTGATCACAAAAGGGGGTCTATGTAAATGCAGCTACTGTGATAGTTAGGTTCCTTGCACTGGAGCTGAGAAACACGTGTCCTAAGGTGTGGGAAAAGAAATTGAAGTAATGCTTGTGCAACTCTAAGGCGGTGTGTCCACCAAAGCGTTTTCCACGGCCCGGCATATGTTTTCAATTGTTTTCAATGGGAGCGCCGCGTTTTTTAAACGCTATGAGCGTAACAAGGCGCTGAGTGTTTTTTTCACTCTGAAGCGCTGAGCGCCCAGCGTTTTTACTGGTCGCTGGGAGTTGAAAAATGTTTAACTTTGGATAAAACGCAGCACTCATCACTGTCGCATTTTACCCAGCCGTCCAATCACAGTGGAGGAGGGGCGGGACTAAACCACACCGACCAACTGTCACAACATTCAAACTGCTGCATATATTCTGTATCATAGCAACGAAACGTCTAAACGGGGAAAAACGCTGCGCTGCCAAACCGCTCTCAATCGCCCAAGGCACGGCGTCTTCAGCAGATCGTCTAGCGTTTTCAGCTGCCTAAAACGCGTTGGTGGACACGTAGCCTAAGGGCCACTTACATAAACATAGTCACTGAATTAAGACAGGTTAGGCTAGGCTAGGCTAGCTTCCATGTTACTATGGAACCACTCTCTTGAACGTTCTTAAGCATCTTGTTGGCACTCATATGGCGCTTTTCCACTGCTGGTACGGCTTGGTACGGCTCAATATGGTTCGGCTCGCTTCGCTTTTCCACTACGTGGTACGACTCTGCTCGACACGACACAGCTCGGTTCGCTTTAGCTCGGTTGTTTTCCCACTGCAGTTAGTACCTCTTTAAACTGGGTTGAATTACAGACTGTTCGATATCAGCGGTGGCTGTTACTGGCTATTTTCTAGCGGGTTTGGTTTCTCTTGTCGATGTCTATTGGTCGCCAATCAGTGATCTGCAGTGTTTCACGTCACATTTTAGTACCGGTACGCTTGGAACCTCAACAGACCAGGTACCATTTAAAGCGAGCCGAAGCAAGCCATACCATTCCATACCATGCAGCTGAAAAGCGTCAAAGCGTGCCATACCGAACCGAACCGTACCATGCAGTGGAAAAGCGCAAATAGACAGGCCTGGTTTAGTTTAGTTCAGTTCATACCTGTCAGATTGAGAACCTGTGTGTGTACGTAAAAGAACAACTGCCAAAACAATTGTAAAGTATGGTATGCTTCAAGGTTCAATTTTAGGCCCATTGTTGTTTTCCTATGCCCCCTTCAAGTGATTTAAGCAGTGGAATGCAACAAATTTCGAAGTAAAAGTCATTTGTTACCTCGACAGGTAACAAATAATTCCTTTAAGCATTCTTTCTCAACGACAAGTTAAGAGGACATAATGTTTTGTAGAACTTTTGAGAAACCAAAATGACACATAGTTTGTGTATGGTTTATGCTTTAAACAACACTCTTATTCTCTCTCAGGTTTGATGGAGACGTAACAGAGAGCACCACAGGTGAGATTTCCGTAGATACCCCCTGGAGCAGGTCTATAGAAGATCTCCATGGTGACAGTAATCTACCATCACCGGTTAGCGGCAGCAGCATTCCACGGTCCACACGCCACTCCTTAAGGTAGACGCGCACAAACAAACACATTTGTGTTCACTCTGTAAATTGGAAAATATTTTTTTTACAAGACAGCCATTAACGTTTTATTGCAATCTCAGGTCTAATACTTTGCCCAGTCGCAGAACTCTCAAGAACTCCCGTTTGGTGTGTAAAAAAGATGACGTTCATGTCTGCATCATGTGTCTCAGAGCTATTATGAACTACCAGGTAAGTAGATTATGCAAGTATTTAATTTTGTTCAGCTGGTTTTTCAAACTTATTTGAATCTCTTTTTGTTTTTCCCTTGTCTATATCACACACTCTATGTCTGAAGTATGGTTTCAACATGGTCATGTCCCACCCCCATGCTGTCAATGAAATTGCTCTGAGCCTTAACAACAAAAATCCCAGGTAACACCACATACACACACACACCAGTATACTGGTTTCTATTAACCTGTATATATTTAAAGACTTCATCATTGCCCTCAAACATTTCTCCAGTTTCTGTGTTTAAACCTCTCAAATGGTTGATGAGAACCCTCTTATCTGTCAAGGCTTTCATCCATTACATTTGATCTTTTTTGGAAGGGGTGTTCTTTGGAAACTTTAGCTATAAATAGATGAATTGTCTGTCATTTGTGCTGATTAAGGTCAATAAGAGATAACAGTTTGTAACTGAGACTGTTCCCAAAGACTGTGATACACAATCCTTCAAAGCCGTTAAATAAAACGTCTATGAATAGTCCCTTGTATTGGTGGGTTAATTCCGATGTAATTTGCCAACCGTAAAACCAATAGGATCACTTGGCCTGCCCCTTGGAGATTTCTTGATTGGTTGTATTTGGAATGTTTTAATCAGAGTTTGTAGCAAGTATTTTGTGCGGGTCTGGTTTCTTGATGTAAATGTCCTTTTGTCTCCATTGTGCAGGACCAAAGCCCTGGTCCTGGAGTTGCTAGCTGCTGTGTGTTTGGTCAGAGGTGGACATGAGATTATCCTAGCTGCTTTTGATCATTTCAAAGAGGTAAGAAAGGATATTCTACCATAATGTATGAGTTCCATATATTTATTTATTTTTATTTTTTTGATAAAATATTTAATCACTTAATCTGATGCATTTTATGTAGTTAATGCATTCCGTTTCATTTAAAGAAAACAAAATAATGTTTAATTATTCAGGTTTGGCTGAAGCAAAAATAAACAGATTCACAAACAGCACAGGAAAGGCAATAACGAAAATCTGCAATAATCAATACAACAATCGCCACTTTTTATGGATCTAATCTTACATTTGCTGTTGGTTTGTAGTCCTCTGCTGGAGTTTGCTTTAAAATATGAATTTATTTCAGTTGTTGAGCTTCAATAATTGCATTTTCCCAATAAAAACAATGGAAATAACTGTGTGATCATTATAGATGTAATTAATCATAGGGTTTACGAAGGACTTCTGCAAAACTATTTAAAACAAAGCTAGCGAACTGTCCGAATTTCAAATGCACTGTTTCCTGTGTGTTAATAAAATATAACTTGTGTTTTGTGTTTCTCAGGTTTGCTCCGAATCTCAAAGGTTTGAGAAATTGATGGAGCACTTCAAAAATGAAGACAACAATATTGATTTCATGGTGGGTCTATATTACGGAGTCCTTTCTCTGTCCTCTGGAGTGCCTTTTAAACTTTCATGCTCTCGCCACTACTGATGTCATATCTCATCATCATTCCCTGTTTGTGACTCAGGTGGCGTGCATGCAGTTCATCAATATTGTGGTGCACTCAGTAGAGGACATGAACTTCAGAGTTCACCTCCAGTACGACTTCACCAAGCTTGCTTTGGATGACTATCTAGAGGTATAAAACTAATCAAAGTGCATCAAAGTATATTCCCTTTACGCTCATTTAGAAACTCATGTATCTGGGGTGTGTTTTTGTGCACAGAGGCTGAAGCACACTGAAAGTGATAAACTCAAAGTACAGATCCAGGCGTACTTGGATAACCTGTTTGATGTGGGGACGCTTCTAGAAGACGCGGAGACCAAAAACGCTGCCCTTGAACGTGTGGAGGAACTGGAGGAGAATCTCTCACATGTGAGCGAAAGCACAACCACCACCCTTTTCTCTTTGTCTTTTCCAGAACTGATTCCTCATTCACATAATTTTTGGTATCTAAGTCTTCTAACTTTAGTCTGAATGCTGAAGCATCTTTCCTCTATCTCATTCTGTCTCTTTTTCATGATGGAAGATGGGCGACAAACTCTTAGAGACCGAGAATGAGGCCATGTCTAAAATCGTGGAGCTTGAGAAGCAGTTGATGCAGAAGAACAAGGAGTTGGATGCCGTCCGGGTCAGTATCACACCACCAGTTTGGATCTCATCAAATGGTTTATAACAGCCTGTTAACATGATACTACGTTTTACTTGAATAATATGAACCAATTAGATGAACAGGGCTGTCAATTTAACCCATTCGTTTCGTTCAAGTCAGTGTTAGATTAGTATTATTTATGTGCTATTATAATATTGGTAACATTTCACAATAAGGTTCATCAGTTAACATTCATTAGCTACCTTAGTTAACATGAACTAAGAATGAACTACTACTTCAGCATTTATTCATATTAATTTCAACATTTACTAATACGTTTTTAAATCAAAGGTTGTATTTGTTATCATTAGATAATGAACATTTTTATTAACTTATATTAACAAAGATGAATTCATAGCAAATGTATTGTTCTGTAGCAAATGTATTGTTCATGTTAATTACCTTTTAGTTTTATTTTTTAATTTTTCAAGTTTTAGTAATTTTGTCATTTTAGTGCTTTTTTAAATATTCTATTTAATTTTAGTAATTTAGTACTTACATTTTTTTTTGTTTCAGCAAGTTGTCAAGGCAATACTTTTCAAGTTTGAAGTTTGTCATCTAAAATTTATATTCTATTTTATTTCAGCTTTATTTTGTGTAAAACATTTTTTTTTTTTTTATAGTTTTAGTTTTGGTGACCAATAGCATAAAAATACAGCAGCCAAACTCATCTATGTAGTCATGTTTGTATATTTAAATTTCATAAATATAGATCTGTATTAGTTACTTTGAACAATTTGACGTAATTAGATCTCAATGTATAATGGATTGACACTTCATGAACTTCTATAAATAATATGACTATGGAAACTTAGAAATTTGTTTAATAACATTGGATGTTTTAAAGGATTAGTTCACTTTTCAAAAAACTTTTTCTGATAATTTACTCACCCCCATCATCCAAGATGTCCATGTCTTTCTTTCTTCAGTCGAAAAGAAATTTCGAAAGAAAGATTTTTAATGAAAATGTTCCAGGATTTTTCTCCATATAATGGAGTTCAGTGGGAACCAGACAGTTCAAGTTCCAAAAGAAACTTTCAGTACAAACTGCAAACTTGTTCAACGGGCTTTAAACGATTCCAGACGATAAATAAGGGTCTTATCAAGCAAAATGATCGCTCATGTTTTTTTAAATAACAAAGTTTAAGTTTTATAAGATCAAACGCTCGCCTTGCTCTGTTCTGTGATGCACGTTCTTGTCTCTTCTGTTCGAACTCGTTCAACAAAATGAACAAATCTTTTTCCGAATCAATTCGTTCGTTTCTTTCATAGAATGAACCAAATGACTCGGAAAAAGATTTGTTCATTTTGATGAACGAGTTCGAACAGGAGTGCGTTACAGAACAGAGCAAGGCGAGCGTTTGAGCTTATAAAACTTAAACTTTGTTATTTATTTATAAAACGAGCGATCGTTTCGCTTGATAAGACCCTTATTCAACGTCTGGAATCGTTTAAAGCCCATTGAACAGTTTGCAGTTTGCACTGAAACTGTCTTTTCGACCTTGAACCATTTGGTTCCCACTGAAGTCCATTATATGGAGAAAAATCCTGCAATGTTTTCATCAAAAACCTTAATTTCTTTTTGACTGAAGAAAGAAAGACATGAACATTTTGGATGACATGGGGGTGAGTAAATTATCAGCAAAAGTTTTTTCAAAAGTGAACTACTCCTTTAACACATTTTTTGTCTCACTTAATTAACACACTGTTTGTGTGTATGTGTGCACATGCAATCCAGACTGTGTACCGGGACGCCAGCTCACAAGTTCACACGCTCCGGCGGATCGTTCGTGAGAAGGACGAGACCATTCAGAGGCAGTCCACGCTAGAGAAGAAAATCAATGAGCTTGAGCGCAGAGGCAGTCTCCAGATCCAGGTGAGGGGTGAGGGAGATGGGGAAGGAGACGTGTCTCCGCTGCCTTCACCTCCTCAGCCCATGGCTCTTTCTCCCTGCCCTGATGCCATGGCCCTGGCCGGAGCCTGTGCAACATACAGCTCTGGCAGCACCTCCCAGACAGGCACCCTTCGAGCAATGGCTACACCTCCTCCTCCTCCCCCTCCACCACCTCCAATGGCATGTTCTTCTGGTGAGTAATAGTTCAGAGCACATCTTTCTTCAACTAAAGATAATTAATATGAGTCTTGCCCAATGTGAATGCCAAAATTGCCTTGAAATGGGGATGGTGTAACCTAAAGACCGAGACACACCAAGCCGACAGACGGCCTTCGTGCCAGTATTTATTTTTTAGTGTTCTGCACCATTGGCTCAGTCTAGCCAGTAAAGAGTAATCTAATTGATTACTCTTCTCATCTTAATAACGTCGTTACCATTACTGCCAAAAAATGCGGCGCGTTACTATAACTGATGAAGCTGGGGGTTTTTTTTTCATCAGACCAACTTGATCTCTGAACGAGAGGCAAATACTTTTTTTAATGTTCTTCCTTGGTTAGTGGGCAGAGCACGAGACAAGCGCATAAATGCTGACGATTGGCTGAGGTAGAGTAAAATGTCACTGTAAGCCAATCAGAGGTAGAGTTGGGCGGGTGTTCGAAAACACGCATAGGAGTGATGGGCATTCGGCTCTTTTGACTCAGCTCACTGAAAAGAGACGGCTCTTTTGGCTCACAAACGGCTCTTTAAATGACTTTGACTATAATATTTCAGTTTTTATTACATAATTATTCAATTTCTATAGGCTACATTTGTAAAAAATAGAGTCGGCTCTTCAGATATGCGAGCCAGCTCCCGACGTTCACCTAAAAGAGGTGAACGTCATTCGCGAATCGCGAACGACCCATCAAAAGCTCATTCGCAAACGAGTCGATCCATCATTACTAACGCTTATTCGCAAACGACCCATCATCTGCTAATGATCATGAACTGCGAACGACCCATCATAACTTATAGTCGGACCGTACAGGACACACAAGGAACAATACAAGCCAGTCAGTCAACGAGAGACAGGTATAGTGACGAGCCCAAATAATCCAAAAGTAGCCTTCTCTAATTGGTATATTGCTTAACAAGCTTAATTTAATTTTGCCCAGTTCAAAAGTTCCAACACATCTATTGTGTTATTTGCATTGATCCACTACACATAATATCTACATACATGGCATTTGATTGGAGGCTAGTCTCACTTTGTCCCACAGCAACATTTTTTTTTAGATGTGTGTACAATGTTTCATGTTTCTGTTAATAATGTATTGTATTAAGTGTCCATTCCATTATAATATTTATCAAATATAATTGAACATGCACATGTATTTTAAGTTCCGTTAATAGAGGTGGGATTTGAGCATTTCAAATTTAATTTTACTTGAAAGTAACGTAATAGTTATTTTTAAAATTTCTAAATGAGTAACTAATTAAGTTACTTTTTGGAAGAAGTAACTAGTAACTGTAACTAATTACTTTTTAAAAGTAACTTGCCCAACACTGCTAGTCAGATGCCTCCTGAGTTTTTCACCATGTTGAATCGGCGTTGGGCCCTCGGTGAGAGAGAGAACTCTAATTGGCGAACGACACAAGAATAAAAGCGAAAGTGATGAAAGCGAGTGATCGAAAGTGATTTCAGACAGAAGGCGGTTATAATTTTACATCATCATACCTGTGCATTTGAATGTATGATATATTTTCATAATAACATGAGAGGACTAAAATGAAAAAAGTGATTCAGCATGATTGATATTCAAAATGGTAAGAAAAATGGTTTGTGTATCTGAAGTCCTAATAGTCAAAGGTCCTGGGTTAAAACAGCGGGGTTGCTTAAATTTACAGTTCCTGAGAACTTTGTTCAAATGACTATTGACATGTTTAAATGACTATTAAAGGTGCCATCTGACATAATAAATCAAATCCTACTCCATATTCCATAACAGATGGGGGCAGCATGTTATTCAAATCATTTGACATGATAGTAAAAGGTTGGAAGACCGCAGTTTCACGTGGAGCATTTGGAGATTTTTAGAGATCAGAGTCTCAATGAACAACATCTCAATACTAAATGATGAAGACCGCCTCATAGGTCGCCTGTCTCAAAAACAAGCTGGTGCATTTCGACGACATGGGAAAATAAAAGCTTGGGCAATTATTTGAAGTGTATGGTATTCGTTTTGTTCATATTACACTTTTATTGTTAGTTTGAATTAATTTGACAGACAGCATTCGCTGATGTTGATCAAGCTAGCGCCATTCAGAGCTACTTAACGAATTCACCGTGAGACACAGGCAATTGACACTTAGCAAGCAGGTTAGTTAAGCTCTCAGATTCTGTCAATTTTATTACGCAATTCAAACAATAAATACCGTTTTGGCGCTTGTACATGTTACTAGGGATGCACCGAATATTCGGCCACCGAAAATTTTCGGCCGAAAATGGCCCAAAAGTGCATTTTCGGTTTTCGGCCAAAAGACTTTTATCACCGAGGGTATTATCACTCATAAGGCTCATTAATGTATTAACTAACATGAACCAACAATGAACAAAACATTACAGTATTTATTAATCTTTGTTAAAGTTGTTAATAAAAATCCATCTCTTCATTGTTAGTTCATGTTAGTTCACAATGCATTTTGTTAACAAACGTTAATTTAATACAAATCAGTTTGTTGTTAGACTCCCTTCTTTGTAAACTGTCAAACTGATATGAAGACAATCAATCCGAATCACATAAAATTTGTGAGTGAAAACTGTAGTCTGTACATGCACGTGGTTCTAAATAAATTTTCATTCTGTCCAAAAAAAAAAAAAAAATTAAAACAGTTAAGAGAAAACATACACACGTCATCAGATTTAAGCATATTCCTATACGTTTTGTCAGAAAAGGGTAAATGGTATTTGAGAAAGGGCATCTACATATTACTGACATAACCAAATCAAACCTTTCAAATATAAGAAATATTTTTGGAAGGTTACATTCCTACCTCTTAAAGTGTTATTTTACTTAAAGTACAAAAATAAAGTTTTAAAATTATCCAATACAGATAATAGCCTTCTCATTATTTTTTTTAAATATTCTATTGATGTAAAATTAATCCTTATTAGACAGAACTCACTAAATGTTATTTTAATCCTTTCATTGTTATCATAGAAATGTTTGTATAGAGTGATAAAAGTCGAAATGGTCAATAAATTAGAAGTTAAGGTATTTTGCCTTTGTATGACCCATTATTGTTTTGCAGATAATGCAAAGGCAGAATACAGTAACTTCCGAATAAAGGTCAAAGGTCAAGTTTGAGCTCAAATTTTTTTTATGTAGATAAATATATTCATTATGACAATAACTTGGTAAATTTTCAGTGTCCTACCTATCATACAATTGGCTGGACAACAAAAAAACTTTAAAGTCATTTTTCTCAGTTTCACACTCTGGTGAGTTAAGGTCTTTTGCCTTTGTAGGGCAGTATAACTTGTCAGTTTTTTAATGACATCATTGCACTTATTTCTTCTCATTCTTTTGATGCGTGTAGCTAATTTTTCGGATATTTTTACCTCAATTATTCCATATGGCACCTTTAAACAGAGATCGACCGATTTTTGTATTGATGTGTCCAATAACTGATATGAAATTTCTGAATGCTTTTTTGGTCACACTTTAGATTAGGGTCCAATTCTCACCAACAATGACTTTTGCCTCAATAAACTCTTAACTACATTATTAACTAATAATAAGCAATAGTTAAGTTTAGGATTAGGGTATGTGCTTTATAAGAACTAATAAACAGCCAGTATCCTAGTAAAATGCAAGTAGTTAATAGTGAGAATTTTTTTTTTTTTTTTTTTTTTTTTTTTGCTACAACCATATAAACAAAGCTCTTGGAAAAAAATCAGACAACTGCAAAATGGTCAGTTTCTTTGGACTTACTATTCATAGGTGTGTATTTGATTAAAATAAACATTTTTGATTCATTCAATAAACTACTGATGACATTTCTTCCAAATTCCAAAGAAAATAGTCATTTTAAAGAATTATTTCCAGAAAATGTAAATTGGTCAAAATGAAAGAGATGCAATGTTTTTAGTTCTCGGGTAATGCAAAGAAAAGTTCATATTAAATTTAAAAAACAAAGTGGTAATATTTTAATTTCAGAAAAGTTAAGAAAACAATATTTGGTGGAATTATGTTTAATGTCACTTTTGGTCAGTTTAATGCATCCATATAAATATGCATTTATATAAAAGTAACAATATAAACATAATAATAATAATAATAAAACACTTTCTTAGGCCAATTTTTTTGATGAATTGTTCATGGACAAGCGTGCCACGCACATCCTGAAAAGTGAAGCCAAAACGTGGACTTGCCGCACGTCGTCTTTCTTTTTTTATAGTCTATGTTTATGAACAATTAATGTTGTGTCCTCCTTGGTTGAAAGCTCCGACTATATTACTGAGCAATGTGTTTGCAGCCAGTGATTCAACAGAGCTGCATAATGACTGTGCCAGCAAACATTGTTAGTTTGAGGGCGCACTTGATTAAAGACACGTTGAGTAGAAACGTGTAAATATCCAAACCGATTATAATTCAATCTCTTCTAATTAGTAATTCTTTGTTACAGAAGCGTGCTCAAGCTTGTTATCCTCAGTTCATTATTTTATTGTTAGTGGCCAACACTGTCTCTTCTTTTCCTGTAGTTTCTAATGAGTCATCAGCAGCTCTCGCACCGCCACCACCTCCTCCTCCTCCTCCTCCACCACCACCTCCACCTCCTGGGCATTCGATCGAGATCTCTGCTCCCTTACCTCCACCTCCCCCTCCTTGTGCTCCTCCTCTCCCAGGCTGCGGCACTCCCACTGTCATATTCAACTCTGGATTGACAGGTATGTGTGTATGTGTGCGTGAGTGTTTCTTTTTTTTTTTGTCTGCTTTGAATTTTATTTTTTGTTAAAACATTAGATAGTGCTTTAACTAACAATGGGCAATACATATGTTACAGTATCTTTTAATTTTGGTTAAGGTAAAAACACAACTGTTCATTATTAGTTTGTCTGCTCAGGTTCATTAAATAATATTGACCGATAAAACTTTTGATTTTAATAATGTATTAGTAAATGTTAAAATAACAGTAACTGAGATAAATAAAGGATTTATAACTATTTTTCACTGTTAGTACATGTATGTAGTTTACGAATGTTAACAAATGGAACCTTATTGTAAAGTGTTTTGTTTAATAATAATTGAGCCAATAATAATTTAGAACTAATCAGCATGTTAAAATGATTTCTGAAGGATCGAGTTGATGCTGAAAATTCACCTTTACCATCATAGGAAAAAAATTACATTTTAAAATAGGACACTGTTATTTTAAATGGTATTAATATTTCACAGTAACTTATTATTTTTACTGTATTTTTGATCAAACAAATGAGACTTGGTGAGCATTAGAGACTTCTTTAAAAAATACTTAATCTATTTATAAAAAAAATCTTAATTATTCTAAACTTTTGACTGGTAGTGTAATTGTCCAATCTTTTGTGGATTTTTGTTTATCACTTCTTAGCACTCTTTCTCTTTCTAGACTTTTGTCATTTACAATTCTCTAAACATTTGTTTTTATCCACTCTCTTTTTCTCCTGCCCTCAAAGATGGACCAATCAAGCTCTTCTGTAGGTTTCCTGAAATTTGTCATAGCCACCATTTGCTGTCATGATATAGTGGTATTTAGGGATGCACCGAAATTTCGGCCTTTCCGGTTTTTTGGCAAAAAGAGAAAATATGAAATTAAATATGCCGCCCCGTCCCTCCGTGTTCAGTGCTCAGCATGTTTTGTACTTTCCGTGTGTGTTTGTGTGCTGTGCTCTCTGCTCAGTGTTCGAGATGGTCCTCACTGCAGAACACGAAATCCAGGATAGAGGAGTTGGATCCAGATCCAACTCCTCCCACCTTACATATACCTAAACCTACCCATCTGCGCCCCCTGATCCCTAACCCCACCCCTAATCCTACCCATCTCCACCCCTTAGATCTGGATCCAACTCCGCCCCCTGGATCTCATGTACTGCAATGTTCCACTCCGTGTGTGCGCTGCGCAATCTGCTCTGTCGATTACGGCCCAAACTCATGTACCGATCACGCTCACAAAGTTTGCTCAATTAACGTGCCGACATGAATTTGTAATAAATTTCTTTCTGTTTGCAGTAGCCCAGTAATAATATGCTGTAACATGCTGGGCAACGCTGGTAAAATGACGCTACCGTCTTGTTCACTGATCCGCTCCCTGGTATCTGTTCACATGCTCTGATGATAATAATAGCTCTGTTGGACTATACTTTATTTTGATAATTGGTCAAAAATCTGATTATGTTGCATAGAACTGAATTAAGAATAATATATTCATTTGTGAATATATTGATATTTAATATGAATATTTTGATATTAATATTACATATATATATATATATATATATAATATTTTAATATTACATTTTATATATATATATATATATATATATATATATATATAAAATATTTATATTAATATTGATATATAGGGCTATTTTAATATAGGGCTTCTTTCAATTTTGTCACTTTAAATTATTTTATTTTATTGACTTGTAGTTTCAGTCAAATGATTGCAATTCATTTAAAAGTGTAACAATAATCCAATTATACAAAAAAAATATTTAAAGCTGCAATCCGTAGCTTTTTTTGGGTTAAAAATGATCCAAAATACATAACCAGTCAGTGTTCAAAACGCTCTGCTTACCGTAGCTCGATTCAAAGCAGTAAGCTTGTAATATTGTTTTTAATGCTGACATTGTTAACATTAAGAATTTGAGAACAAAGTATAATTTGCAGATTCCTGCCAGATTCTGAATGCGAGTATCCACACCGGCGCGGTGACTGACAGCCTCTCCTCAAACATTGTGTTCATCCACGCTGTGTCGTGTCGAGGGTGTTGACGAACTCGCGTAAAGTTGATAATGAATGACTGCAATTGCAGATTTCGAACAGAGATGGCGACAAAGAGGAAAAACGTCTGACTGCAGCTTTAAAATAAGAAATACATTTTCAGTTTCGTTTTTCGGGCAAGTGCGTCCAGAATTTTCGGTTTCGGCCCTGAATTTTCATTTCGCTGCATCCCAAGTCATATTGTGTGTTGTGTCTTTGCTTAACATGTTATCATCCATTCTTGTGATTGCGCTCATTTTTAATCTTATTGAGTAGTTAGTAGATGCTTGGGTAGTCACAGGCCTCTTTTCTTCTTTGGCAGCTGTGAAAATTAAAAAGCCAATCAAAACCAAGTTCCGCTTGCCGGTGTTCAATTGGGTGGCTCTGAAACCAAATCAGATCAACGGCACAGTCTTCAATGAAATCGATGATGAGAGGATCCTGGAGGTATTTGTCTACAGCACTTTACCTGGAAAAAGTGTGATCTCTATCAACTCTGCGTGTATTATACCACTTCATCACATGTATCATGTTTCTGTTTGAGTTGCTTTTAAATAATAGGTAGATGCTCAGTTTAGTTTCAACTCTTTCGCAACTTGTTGTACTTCAATAATCTGATGAATTTCCAAGTGAAACAGTAGGTTTAAGGAGAAATAAAATGTAGAAATAAAATGTAGGATTTTATTTTGTAAAACAAGAATTTCATACCAGACAGAGCCAGGAGCCATTTTAGAGGCGGAGCAAGTGCATTTTGATAAAAGATTGAAGCATTTTTATTTAAATTTATTAACTGGCTCAGTGAATCAGGGAACGTACTTACAGTAAACTTTCATAAGGTTTGCACAAAACTGTTGAGTTCAAGGAGTGCTGTGGATTGCTCTTTAATAGAATGCTTTGCTTTGTAGGATTTGAACGTAGATGAGTTTGAGGAAATGTTTAAGACCAAAGCCCAGGGCCCTGCTCTTGATATGACGATGCAAAAGCAGAAGGCTCCTCAAAAGGGCCCCAATAAAGTATCTCTTCTGGAGGCTAACAGAGCCAAAAACCTCGCCATCACACTCCGCAAGGCAGGGAAGAGCCCGGAGGAGATCTGCAAAGCAATCCAGACGTAAGTTCCCCTTTGCCTCAAATCTCAAGATAAAGATGAACCATATTCTCGGTGAGATGGTGTTTACAACTGCGGGATTGTTCGTCTTTATCTGCTTAATAGAACGGCAGTCAGTTCTGATTCTCTTCATTCCACAGTTCATCTTATATCAGCTGTGTTTGGTTTGGTGGTTTGATTTAATGCCTGTTGCACAAACTCTGAGTTTCAGAGTAAGTTTAGAGTTTGTTCAGCCTCGTTTGGATCAGGTTCAACGGGTTAACAACACTCAATATAAGCGTTCTCTGTCAACTCAGGTTTAATCCAGAGTTTGCGATTTAACCCTGAAGCACGTGCACCTGAAAGCCAATCACACAAAACATGGAGAGCGTCAGTTTGATTCACTTCTCGCGAGAGAGCTGGCCCAATTCACTTCTGTGGTGAGATTAAGAGATCATTAAGAAAAATATCATGAAATTAAATACATTTACAAGGCAGGAATAAACAATGCTGCTGCAGCGAAAGTTTGAGAAGCCAGCTGAAAGAAAATATCTGACTAGATCAATGAAAGTGAATCAAACAAATAGGCCTTATAATTTATGTAAGCTTAAAAGAATACACATTCTGTTTATAGCGTGCTTACATAATTACAATTCACATAATATAATAAATAATTAGAAGCAAAAGATGGGCAATTTAATTCGACTGATTTAATTTGGAGCAGATACAGAGATACGGGGGAGTGGCTTAATTGCATCGGATACATGTCGCTTTACTCACAGCTGATTGGTCCAGTTTTGGTCTGCGATCTCTAACCCAGAATAAAACCTACTTTGGAAAAGGTTAGCCATGTAGCGTAAATTACAATGGTGCTGAAACCTGCTACAAACCAATTAGCCTTATCGAGCCAGAAAAACCTGGGTTAGCTCAAATTAATCTCAAACTTGGGTATCAACTTAAACCAGTTATGTACAACAGGTAATTGTTTTTGGGCTTTGGGGGATTTGTTTTTTTTTTTTTAATACTGCTCTGATCAGTTTCTCATCCACTCAGGTTTGACCTACGTACATTGCCTGTGGATTTCGTGGAGTGTATGATGCGGTTCATGCCCACTGAAGCTGAGGTGAAGGTGCTCCGCCAGTATGAGCGGGAGCGACGGCCAATGGACGGGCTCACTGATGAGGACCGGTTCATGATGCTCTTCAGCAAGATCGAAAGGCTGCCACAGCGGATGACCATCATGGCCTTCATGGGCAACTACAGTGATAGCCTGCAAATGCTCACACCGGTAAAGTGGATAGAGAAATAGTGGAACAAAAAATGGTGAAACTGAATGATGCGTCACTGTTTTCAATATCTAAAATGATTCTGATAATCTGAAATGCATTTATAAATTTGTCTTTTGCTGTCACTGTTTTTCCCACAGCAACTTCATGCTATCATAGCAGCATCCGTATCCATAAAATCATCACAGAAGTTAAAGAAAATCCTTGAGGTAAGCCACTAAAACTTGAACATCACAGAGTCTCTTGCCATTTTACAGTGTTGCTTGTAATTAAGTACGTGATCTCTCTCATCTCAGATCATTTTGGCCCTGGGGAATTATATGAACAGTAGTAAGAGAGGAGCTGTTTATGGCTTTAAACTTCAGAGCTTGGATCTGGTAACTTATTACATCTCATAGCCCTTTTTTTTCTGAAACGTTATTCAGTATAATTATAATGCTGTAATGTATCTTGCCTTCAGCTGTTGGAGACTAAGTCCACTGACAGGAAACTGACGCTTTTGCACTACATAGCCAATGTGGTGAAGGAGAAATATCCAGTTGTGAGCGTGTTCTACAATGAGCTGCACTATATCGAGAAAGCTGCTGCAGGTAAGCGTCATTCTCCCCTTTAAAGGGTTAGTTCACCCAAAAATGAAAATTCTGTCCTTGTGTTGTTCTAAACCTCCATGTGTTTATTTGTTCTGCTGAACACAAAGGAAGATATTTGGAAGAATGATTTAATCGAACAGATCTCATTCCCCATTGACTACCAGAGTAGGAAAAAATACATAGTAGTCAATGGGGAATGAGATCTGTTTTATTAAAACATTCTTCCAAATATCTTCCTTTGTGTTCAGCAGAACAAATAAACACATAGAGGTTTGGAACAACATGAGGGTGAGTAAATACTGACAGAATTTTCATTTTTGGGTGAACTAACGCTTTAAAATATATTTTAAATATACTAATTAAAAAGGGTAATTATACTTCTAAATCAGCCTTGTTGCTAATTAAAACTGAGCTATTAAAAAACTAAATAATTAATTGAAAATAAATCAAATTGCCTTGACAACAAATTGAAATAAATTAATTTTAATTAAAATTAAAACCAAAAGTATAAAAATGAAAGCTAATTCAAAGGTTTGGAACAACATGAGGGTGAGTAAATACTGACCGAATTTTAATTTTTGGGTGAACTAACCCTTTAAAATATATTTGAAATATACTAATTAAAAAGGGTAATTATACTTCTAAATCAGCCTTGTTGCTAATTAAAACTGAGCTATTAAAAAACTAAATAATTAATTGAAAATAAATAAAATTGCCTTGACAACAAATTGAAATAAATTAAATTAAAATTAAAACCAAAAGTATAAAAATGAAAGCTAATTCAAAATCGTATATACCATCATATAAATATACTAAAATAAATGCAGGTCTTACTATACAGAAAAAAATCCTAAAAAAAAATGTTGTCTTATTAAGCGTCTGTAAGTTTGTTTGTCGAGTGTGTATCTCATTAATCCCATGTTGCAGTCTCTCTGGAGAATGTTCTCTTGGATGTGAAGGAGCTACAGAGAGGTTTGGATCTGACCAGAAGAGAGTTCAGCATGCATGGCCACAACTCCCTGCTCAAAGATTTCATCCATCACAATGAGGCCAGGCTTAAGAAGCTTCTGGATGATGCTAGAATTGCACAGGTAGGGGAATAAAAGAACCTTTCTATAGGGTGTTGTGGTTTAATAAAAAAAAATCTGCGCTGGGAACGGTAAGGTTGTTGGTTTGATATGGATAATGAAATGGATCCACATGATTATGTAACTTTTACAGGATGCTTATGACGATGTTGTCAAGTTCTTTGGGGAGAGCCCAAAGACCATGCCACCCTCTGTGTTCTTCCCCGTGTTTGTTCGCTTCATCAAGTCCTATAGGGTGAGACCTTTAACTATCAGTGCACCAACTTCCTTCTGGTTCTCACAGGGCCCAGATCTAATTTGTGTCTTTTTTTTTTTTCAGCAAGCGAATGAAGAGAATGAGCAAAGGAAGAGGCAGGAGCAGCTGATGATGGAGAAACTTCTGGAACAGGAGGCCTTGATGGAGGAGCAAGATCATCAACAGGTATCATGTTGAAGTCATCAATGAGAGCTATTAGCCCAAAGTGTACTGTGCACATGCACTGTTGTACGCACACTCACATAGCCTTTAACTTTGACACGTATGTATTAGGGGTGTAACAATATATCGTGCCATACAAAAATGCAACAATACGTATCGTGGATAGTGACAATGTATCGTAGACTGCTATATATAATGTTTATTATAATGTTCAATGGAATATTTGATAATACCAAATGACTTGTGTAACTTGACCAGTAAAAATTGTCCAATATTATTTAAAATATATCTAGTCGTAAAAGTGCAAGAATATTCGTCTAAAATAATTTTGTAATTTCAGCTTCAGAATCATGAATATTGTTATTCTGGTGTCACCGTTGACCTTGGGCACCAAGTCCAAGCCTTTTCATTTAAACCCTCATTGTAATATCAAAGTTAGCATTTTAATCAACAGTACATTTTTTTGTTAAAGCTACACTGTGTAACTCTTAGTTAATTCTTAGCTAAAAACTCTTAGTTCTTTCAAAAATATATGTGCTCATTAATGTATATTTACTTCGTTCAAGTAATAAAGTATTCTTGTGAATGTATAATATGCCATTGAAAATACATACGGGTAAGGCGTTCTAATGCCGGTCGCCATGTTGCCCCTCCATCTTGAAAGTACATTAGCCAAAGAGGGACATAACCGTTAATTCAAGCTTCACCTTTTGCGTTTACGTTTGAGTTAACACTCATGGACGAGGTCGAACTGAGTCTGGAAGCCATGTTAATCTTGGACTACATTGGCCACCGTAGGAGTTCAAACGAAATCAAAATTGAGAGGAACAGAAACTAATATTAACTGGATGGTCATATACCTATTCACCGCTAGATGGGGGTAAAAATCACACAGTGTAGCTTTAACCTTTTATCAAATGTCTTTGAGTATCGCAATAATATCGTATCGCGCGTTCAGTATCGTGATATGTATCGAATCGTGACATTAGGGTATTGTTACACCCCTCGTATGTATATGTACACAGGCAGTTGTCATATGTGCATTATGACAACTTGCACTCTGTCAACAGAATGTTTTATATATCTCGCCACAAGTTATAACCCATACGCACATCTTTATGATCTTTTAAGCTTGAGTTGAATTCAATCCATGAATTATTGTTGTAGCTTGCACGCGTTTCTGTCGCGTTTTCCATTTTAGTTTTTCCATTTTAGTAGTTCCACTTTGTGGACAAACAAATTAGTGCAAAAAAAAAATCAGGCTGTATGCAAATGCTGTGCTGATGACGAAATTCACATCACGCGGACCCTAGTGTATGAATAAAAAATGAACTTTGGCTTAACTAGTAAGCCCTAATGTATATGTTAAAGGAATATAGAGTGGCGAAGTGATGACGTCACTTTGCAGGACAACTCGGAAGCTAGCGGCGCATGAGTTCCCTCGATCGAAAAGCTACGCATTTTCCCCATAGACATTTGGAAAATCGCAAAAAATGGCTGTGACCCTTACACGTTTTGTCCATCAAGGTAATCTTTTCAAGTTAATCCAAAATGTATACATTTTGAAGCCTATATAAAGTTTTTAAAAAACACAAGCAGACACAATAAAGTTTAAAAAACCACAAGCTGGTTATAACTGTGTGTTCTATGTCATAGATCAAAACGTGAAAATATTTAGAGGCTTTGTTCACCATAGACCTTATTTCAGGCGATTTAGCAAAAACCCATTCAAAAATCCCATAGACTTTAGAGTGAGGGAACCGGTAGTGCTTTTGGCCTACAGAGTGACGTCGGCACTCTATGGGATTATTACAGTAAAGCTGTGTGCTATGACTGCATATTCTTTCCCTTATTAACTTTCTCAATCACCAGTCGCCATCTCACAAGGGCAAGCGGCAACAGCAGGAGCTGATCACAGAGTTAAGGAAGAGGCAAGGCAAAGATAGCCGCCTCGTCTACGAAGGCAAAGACGGAGCCATTGAGGACATCATTACGGGTAAGTACGCTTTGATTGTGCGTATGATGAATGAATCTGTTTCCCTAAGTGTGTATTGGTCTTGCTCTTTTTGATAGTAACAGTAGACGTACTGTAGCAGTAGACGCCAAACTGTTTAGCTTTAGGCTTGAAGTTTCTGTCTGATTCTGTGCTTTTTTTAGAGCTTCTTGCTTTTGGTGTTTCTATGTTGTGATTGGCTATTATTTTGCTGCAGTGCTGAAGACCGTCCCCTTTACCGCACGATCAGCCAAACGTGGCTCGCGGTTCTTCTGTGATCCCGCCCTTTCCGAGGACTTCCATTACTAAACTAAATTCTCTCCCCTCAGCAAGGTGCCTTTAAGTCCGTCTCTTATTCGCTCATCTCATAGCCATCCTTCTTTCTGTCTTTTTCTTCATTCGTTTACTATTCATCTGGGTGTATTTGGGTATTAAATTCAATCACAATTTATTTTAGGTGTCTTTAACTACTATGTACTTCCATCTAAAAAAAATTTACTGGGTACAATGTAATTATTGTTCATATTGTATTGCAACATTTTATTGTAATTTACTGTACAGCAAAAATGTTGCTGCTATTGGACAGGTTTGGTGGTACGGTTAGGTTTAAGGGTCGGTTAACGTGAAAGGGCCAGGTCAACTGTGTATATAAATTATAAATTAATTACAGCTGCAATTACATGCAGGTATTGTTTTTAAATAAGTACAGTAGGGATGCACGATATATCGGCCAGCATATCGGTATCGGCCGACATATGTTCATTTTTAATGTTATCGTTATCGGCCTTGTAAGAAAATGTGGGCGACATATTAAAGCCGATAAATAATGTATTATTCCCTTCAGCCGAGACACTTGTTGAGCACTGTTTATGATTTTGATTTTCTTGAAAAAGAGATTTTTAAAAATTAAAATATGGTTACTTTGTGTACACACGCATACACATACCCACGCTCATACACGCTCACTTACACACTTAGATCAAACACTTAATCACTCTTGCCACTGCTGGAATTATGGATTTACAAGATTGCTCACTACTGCACTATGTTGGTTTGTTTGTATGTATGTCTGATTGTTAAATAAAAAAAAAAAAAAAAAAAAAAAAAAAAAAAAAAAAAAAAAAAAAATTAAAATATGATTCGGTACAACATGTGCAGCGCAAATCTGTCATATCGGCTATACAACACTATAATGAGAACGTCATTATAATCGTGCGCTTGAGACATGGATTTAATTGTGAGACTTTTGTTTTTGTAATCAGGCTCTCAAAATTAGATAAAAATTTGGATTTAAATTTATCGGCCGATATATCAGTTATCGGCTTTCAAATATAAAGAATTATCGGCCAAAATTTTCATATCGGTGCATCCCTAAAGTACAATGTTAAAACATATATGTGCACAATGAGCACATTGTATCAAGTGATTCATTTCAATGTTAGTACATAGTAGTAGGACCAAAATGCATGCCTGCCTGCCTGCCTTTAATACTTCCTCCATTTGGCATTTTGTTTCCTGTACACTATTTAAGTTGTCACAGATTTTAAAAATGTCTTGACGTTTCCCCTCCCATTGAGTAGTTGTAATACAATTTTTAAAAAAAATTGTCTTGGAAACTTCCTGGAACATATCATGACTTAACAGAAAGATCTCAATTGTAGGGATGCACTATGGATGTTGATAACTATGGAAGCTTCCAACACAGAATAAAAAATTAAAATGAATATTCATTATTCATACTGTACATTATTCATACTGAATATTCATACTGTACATTTATAATATGATGCCGAAATTGACTTATCTCGCAATTCTGACTTTTTAATGTGAAATAAACTTGTGTTGTAAAGTCAGAATTGCGTGAGAAAGAAAATGTCCAAATTGTGAAATCGGTAATTTTAAATGCTCCAAGCCAATTTCGGCATCATATTATAATGTACAGTATGAAGAATGGATATTTAATATTTTTTATTTGCTAAAGATTACATTTAACAGTGTTAAATTATGTTTTGCATAACCTTCATGTTAAAATAGCAGTTAAATATTTAATATTGGCTATTATATCCAATATTAACTGATACCAATAAATGGTGGAAACCAATAAATGCCAATATTAAAATAATATATTCTATTTTGTTTAAATAAATGTAAAAATAATGAATCAAAAACTAAAATCTGTAATTTTAAATGCTTTAAGGCACACCACAACATTAAAATATACAGTATAAAGAATGAATATTATTTAAAATGTTTATTTGCTAAAGGTAACGGTATTATTAAATTATTAGTATTTTGTAAAGATTGACAGTAACACATTACAATGAGGTTTAATTAGTTAACATTAGTTAGCTACTTTAGTTAACATGAACTAAGAAAGAACAATCTCTACAGGATTTATTCATCTTGATTTACTAATACATTGATAAACATGAAAAGTTGGATTTGTTAACATTAGTACTATTTTTATTGAATAACATTAACAAAGATTCATAAATGTATTGCTCATAGTTAGTTCATTTTATTTATCATAACTATCATGTAAAATTAGGGGAATGAGTATGGACAATTAAATATTCAATATTAGCCATTATATCCAATATCAACTGATACTAATAAATTGCCAACATTAGAAAATTCCATCACATTTTTGTCTAAATAAATTTAGAATTTGGGTCTGTAAATTTTAAAATAATACAAGTATGCTCAATATGTTTCGATATCAGCCATTTTATCTATCATCAATCAATATCAATAAAAAAACAAAACTTTAACACCGGAAAATAAGCGTTATGGTACCGGTATATTGTTCATTCCTACTAAATTGATCTAAAACTAACCAAACATCCACTTACCTGTCTGTTTTGCACCCGTCTCATCCATATCTGCAGGCCCAGACTCTAGTTGTGTTCAGTGTATAACGGTTTACCTGTTTGTCTTCAGACCTGCGCAGTCAACCCTTCCGACGGGCCGATGCCCTGAGGAGGAGTGGGAGAAGGAACATGGAGGTTCAGCACCTTCAGCTACGCAACATGGAGATCACCACCTGCTAGCCAGCGTTTGAGGACAGAGGGTGGGCCAATGACACTACTGAAATAAGAGCACACTTAGGACAATGGAGGGATGTGACATTGAATACTTCTGCTTACCTGGAACCTGGAATCTCTTTTAAAGAAAGTAAGGTTGGATGCCATGTGTCAGACCTACAGTCAAATATTGTAGGTTCTACAAATGGACATTGTGAAGGAAGATGATGAAGTGCGGTATTTTGTTTCGCTCTGTTTAACTTTGAGACATTTGTGTATTACATACAAGGAGCGGCAGAAATGGCGAAAAGACTCTAGATTGGCCCATTTGTGTCTTTTTTTACCTCTTGTTTTAAAAACTCCAAGCTAAGCAGCTTTTTCTGAGGGGAAGATGTACAAGATGCACTTTTTATTTTTATTTGATTTTTTTAGCATTGAACCTGGATCATCTTAGGACTGAACTTTTGATCTTTTTAAAAAAAGTGGATGAAGAACGCGGAGGAGAACTTCTAACTGCTGTTGAGAAAGACATTTCTTCACTGACTAAAAACCCATGAAACGTCGAGAAAATGTTTACTACCAAACATCCACAACCAGTTTGACATTTTATGTACAATACATCTCATTTTTCATCACAGACCTACTCTCCTACTGATTTTATCTCATGTGGCATTTGTGAGCTGTGAAAAAAAAAAGTTTGCTGTTTTTTAAAAAAAAAGAAAAAAGAAAAGACATATCATTGGACAAAAAGTCTTTTTTTTTTAAATGTACAGATATTTTGCTACAAAATTGAGCCTCTTATTTTTTACATTGTTCATCCATTGTGGTGCTGTACATATTGTTGAAACAAACCAACTTGTCCTGCAATATCACTGGAATGGTATTAACTTTTTATGTTGTTTAGTATGACAGTATTATTTAATTCGATGGTAAAGACAGTGAATCAACTTACTCTGTGACCTGAATTGCTCTCTCTCATCACTATTGTTGCATATGGTAAATGTCTGTGGTTGCACGTAACACTTGAAAGCTTGAACTGACACTAGTGGCACATATAACGTTTTTCTACTTTGATCTCTTTAACTGGAATCAGTGGTTGTGTGCAAATAAAGCAAAGACACCAGCACCGTTAAAAAACGGGTTCTTTTGTGTGTTGACGTGAAATGTTCACATGAATTCTTGCTAATTTTATCTGGATAATGGAGCTTCTTGAAAATAAAATGTGTTGTGGGCAGTGCTAACCTAATTCTGCCACAAGGTGGTAGCAACCCCTTGTGTCGCCTGGCCGGTGGAACATGGCCAGATTACAGTTAATGATTTATTTAAACAAGAACCCATAAATGATGTTTAGCTCACTGTCGAAAAAGTCAACAATCATAGTATATTTATGTGGAGTAAATTTAGGTTTTATACTAAAATGAACCCTTTGCTGTGGTCTGCAATAATTAAAATGCAAATAATACTCAAAATGTCAGTACTATTTCGTTATGTGATATAAACACTGCCCGACCAAAAAAAAAAAAGAAAAGAAAAAGAGTGGCTGTATGGATTTAAATGGGTGTATTTTTGGATCATTATTGCAGTGATTGTTTCTAGCATATTATGTTTGGCAACAGCTCTTCTAACCCTAATTCATGGAGTGTGTAGCTTTTCATTTCTTAAACAACCATGTAAGAAGATGCGTCATGGCCATATTCCAGGATGAAATTGTCAAGATTTATCAGGCTCAAGTTGTGACAGAATGGTTTGCATGAAGAATCATTTTCACACATGCATTGGCACCTCTGAGTCCAGATCTTAAAGGGATAGTTCACTTTGAAATACATTTTTGATATGTTTTAGCTTACCTCAAGGGCATCCAAGATGTAGGTGTCTTTGTTTCGGCAGTATTTTCAATTTTGATATTTTTAGGTCAAACTGTTCCTATCTATTAGTCATATAATTGAGGTCTATGGTCACCACCTCAAAGAGCATGCACAGAGAAGTCCAAATTAAACGTGATTTAATTACTCGTAAATGTAATTACACATTGAAGGCCTAAGACACGAAACGAGCGGTTTGTGTGAGAAAACGAACAGTATTTGTAGTTTTTACCTCTTGATACCACAGCCACAAAGTGCCCGTGCCCTCAGATCACTTGGTAAAACCGATATAAAAACTGTTTGTTTTCTCAAACAAACTGCTCGTTTCGTGTCTTAAGCCATCAATGTGTACTTACATTTACGAGTCATTAAATCATGTTTAATTTGGACTTCTCTTTGCATGCTCTTTGAGGTGGTGACCATAGACCTTCATAATATGACTGATAGACATGAACGGTTTGACCTAAAAATATCAAAATTGAAACTACTGTGGAAACAAAGACACCTACATCTTGGATGCTCTTGAGGGAAGCTAAAAATGTATTTCAAAGTGAACTATCCCTTTAACTTCATTGGAAGTCTTGTGCTGGAGGAGTCTTTACAGAGTGCTGGATTCTTGGATTGTCAATACAGGAGCTTGACCAATATTTGATGCACCTCTTGATGGAAATAATAACATCATGACATTTATTTACATCAAGAGGTGCATTATTTTTTTGGTCAAGATCTTGTATTGACGACGCAAGAGTCCAGCACTCTGTAAAGACTCCTCCAGCACATTTCAATGAATTCAAAATAAAACATTTAAGAATGTAGCCAGTAATGAAATTCTTCAAAATACTTTAACACTGAAACGTAGACCCTTATTTTCAAATATGTGCTGCTTTCCTATTCTATATTTTAAAAAGTAATGTACATAAAGAACATTAGATAATGCAATATATCTCATTTTCAATTACTTCAATTCGACAGTTCCACCAGGTCACAGTGGGATACCTACTGTCTTCTGGTTAATGGACATCAGAAAATGTTGGGGACCGGGCCATGATGCAGAAGTAAAGAGGAGAAAGATCAGAGTTGGCAGCTCCTCACGCTACGGAGAACGTGTGGGCAGACCTCCCAACTGTCAGAAACTTTTAGAGTTTAGAAAAAGTGTTCCATGAAAGAACTAAAAAACAAGAAATGATGCATACAATAGATAGTTGCTGAAAATTAGCAGAAAAGAGCAGTCAAGTTATAAATATTTTAGCACAGGGGTTTTCAATCTTTAAGATGCCACGACCCCCAATATAATATTATAATCATCGTTAGGCAAGGGGCCACTTTCTGAAAATTAAAAAAAAAAAAAAACATCTATTTAGTTTCTTCTGTAAAGGTCTAATTCTTATTTATATTGTGAAAATTAAAAATGATAAATATGTCAATATTATTTGGAAAATGTTGTTAGTAAATTATTGCATAGATGTGTGCATTATTTGCTAATTTGTTTGCTTATATTAATTGAATTATAATTTTTGATGCAATTTTTCTCTAAACATTTCTACGGACCCCTTGAAGCCCCACTTTGAAAACCCTGATTTAACATATTTATCCAAAATGAACTGGCTTTGCTTATTATAGCAGAATATTACTGAAAGAAAAATGTCTATGGCAATTAACTTGAAATATTTATAGCTGTTTCCAGCAGTTATTTTTATAAGTAGTCTAAACGAGCCAAGAATTTTATGTTTGTTCGTGAAAGTAATATTTCAGTAATCAGTTTAACAAAGATCTTCCTCGTTATCTCTTCAGATAAAGACCTTATTATGCCTTCAGGTGTGTTAAATCTTTCAGATTATTTTGGGCTGTACAGGAGTTACAGCTTCGCCTTGCTGTAATGATTTTGCATTTGTTTGCAAATAAAACAGAACACTGGAGTCTGGAAGCAATAAAGCAAGACGTTTTAAATATCATAGTCAAGCAGACCAGGATTAACACCTATCCTTTGCTAAAGATTCACGATGTGTGAGTTGGGTTATTTTCTTGAATGACGTTCATTACATCCAATCGTATGGTCGTATAGCATGGATTGTCAATTACGATTGGACAACACGACAAAAAAAGGCGGTGCTTCACAAATACGGAAGCACAAACCGCGATGTTTTGAAACTCCATAACATTTGATAATTTTTAAAATAATACACATTGTCTTAATCGAAATCCCCTTCAAATCAAATGTTTTTGTAGTTGACCTGTATAAAACGCACATTACATTCATACGTTACACAAACCGAGTGTAATTAATAATATGAAAAGTAGGTACATAGCCAGTTTTCCGTGTTGTCTAGGAAACGGAAACGCGCAAACTAGGAGGCAGGATGTGACTCACGAACCAACAATTTCAACTTTAGAAACGTTTCTCCTGGCGACCATGTTACGGTCTTCCAGAGATAAAGATATCCCGTCTTTAGACATTTATTCTGAAGATGAAGATAATACCGCATTAACTGGAAGAAGAAGAACCCCTTTGGGTGAAGTAAATGAAGCTTCACCTGAGAGCAACGTGAACGGCAGGGCAGCTCCTGGGCGGCTCCCCGTACGCCAGCGGTACTGGAAAGACACACACCTGTGGCCCGCTCGTATATTCTCTGTGCTATGCAGTATAGTCATCGTCTCGTTTATCGCTGTGCTGATCTCATTCTTGTACATCGTATTAAAAGGTAAACATGTTCATATCTGCTTCTTGGAATTCTTCTCTTGCAGTTCCAGTATGTGCAATACCTAAACAGCATATGGATAATTAATAATTATATGATCTGTAGATTTAAGAGCTGAGAGGATAACCATTGAAGATGGATCAGAAGTAAGACTCCTGGGTATGTCTAAATTGCACATAGTGAAATAACGTTACATAATATTAAAAAAAAAAAAAAACGATATTAGGCGCGTGTAGCTTTGGTAACATAGGCTACTTTTTTCCTGCAGGTTTTTGGAGTATTTTGGTCCTGTCTTCTGTGGCTGGAGTTCTATGTTGCAGTTTCTCCTGGACCCTAACCTACTTTGACTCCTTTGAGCCAGGAATGTTTCCTCCAACTCCTCTTTCTTCAGCCAAACTCAAGTGAGCCTGTTTATCATAATTATTGTCCAAGGAAATCACCACCAGGCCATATTGTCTAAAGTCTAAACTAAAGCACAATCATATTTCTTTGTATGCTTCTGTTCCCAATATATGGATGTAAAACAATACCTTGGGTATTTTTTTCAAGGTCAAGATAAAATGATATTATTATGATATAATAAGATATAATAATTATTATATAATATTATGACTATATGGTACATTTTAGGCACTATTTCCTTATTTCTCCACTTTTAAATCATTTTTTTTATTAATTAGTTTTATTCAGAGGATAAATAGTTAAAATAGTTTCAAAAAATAGTTTTACACCACAGGAAACTGCTCCATGATCATGCTTTAAAGTCCCCTAGAAGTTGCAACTGACTTTACTTTATTTTGTGATTTTTTTTATTTTAATTTTTTTTTCTTCAAGTGGCACAGAATATGGAATAGAGGACAAGGTTTTACTTTAGCGCACCTCCTCTCCATCCTTTGTTCATAGCAGACTGACAGTTACAGGGAAGTGGTAAAGGATATTCAACCCAAGCCGTCTGAGAAGGAACGCCATTTGGAAACAAATTTTCAGATTTTGATTAAAGATTACCACGACAAACATTTTATTCTCCTCTGTATTAACATGCACAGATTAATTGTTCTCAAGACTAGTAATGTGCGCTAACAAAGTAAATGGGGTAAATTTTGGTTTTGTGGCGGCTATAATAGACTATGCCATTGTGTTAAAAGGTTGGCTCTGCCTGAAACCTGACAATTAATGCTGAATTCAATGTTTGGGTTAGTTCCTGTATAAGATATCCCCATGTGATTGATTTTTGATGGCACCATAGATTTATTCCATAGATTGTATGTGATGGTCCAATAGTAATCATTAGATATTTGCTTGGTTACCTGTAAAGCTCACTTGAATTTGTTAACTGATTAGATGTGACCTTATGGTTCCTTGGAAGCTGATCTGAAACCACTAGGAGAGACCTTTAAGGCCCATTCACATCAAGAACGATAACTAAAGATATCCATAACCATATTAGTTTCCACACCAACAAACGTTAACGCTCTGTTTATTTTAAGCATGCGCTGCTGGTTTGTCGTCTACTGCTTTAAATGCTCGTGCTCTTTAAAGCAAAATGGATTCTGATTGGCTGTCAATGTTGTTGTCGTTCATCAATTGCATGGGGGGAAAAAAAATCCTAAAAAGTGATTCCAACAATGTAGTTCCTCTGTGCCTTAATCGTTATAGTTTTGGTGTGGACTCTGGTATTCTTTTATATTTAGAAGGATTTTTAGAACTATATCTTTATTGCGTTATCATACTTGGTGTGAAATGGCCTTTATATGAAAACAGTGTTATTGAATGTCTGGGTGGCAAACCGCCAGTTTCAGGAAACGCATAACTTCCCTTTTCCAAATAATTCAAACTGATATTCCATAAATGGCGCTACGTTTTTTACTGTTCATAAGCAGCAGATGGGGAGGGGGATTAGTGTATTTTTTGTGGGGCTTGTAAGAAAATAAACGATGAGGATGATAGCAATGACAAAGTACACAAAGCACCATGGGTTCAACTGAGTTGGAATGAACCCCGAACAATACAGGCTCAAACATTTTATGCTGTTTCTACACTAGTCATCCCTCTCATCTTGTAAACAAGGTTTCATTTTAAATGTAAATTAAGGACAACAATTGAAGTGATTTCCTTCCGTTCCCACATCATTGATGTTGCTGCAGGTGTGATCACCAAAGGGGTCGGGTGAAAGAATTATACTCAGAAAGACATCTGTCTTTATTGGTAATCACAAACAATCTCTTTGTCACAGGGTGGTTCTTGATGTTGTTCTGCTGCTCTCGCAATTACTGATTAAATACCATTCCAGACCAGTGGTAATATTGTCATATTACTATTAGTGAGACCAGAGCAAACTGTCTCTATGATAATTAAAGGGGTGGTTTACTGCTTTTTTTCTTTGCATGGTTGTGTTAATGGGGTGCAATATAACATGAATTCATCGTTTTTCTTTTTTAAAATGTCTTACTTTTCATAAATTTCACCTTAATTGTAAGCCGCTTTCTCCTCTTGTCATTTGAACGACCGGTTGACTTCCTGATTCTATGAAACCACTCCCTCAGAAACGGGCAGTGGGCTCAGATTGGTTAGTTTGGGCCGGTGTGTTGTGATTGGCTAAACTGTAGTGCACGTTGTCCTGAAAATTCACGCCCATTACCTTTACGGGCGAAGTTGCATGTGTTGTTCATGTCAAATGTAAGTAATGGTGTCGATACTGCAGTATCAGAGCCAGAATCAGACCCAGAAAGCGGCGATGAAGAGAGCCAAGCAGAACCTCACCACACACGGCTCTTACAAAACGTTTCTGAATGGTATTTTGCCTATATTTTTTTAACTTTTATAGACGTTTGTCTTACACAAAATAGCATCGAACTAACTGGCTACTATATACACAAACAGCGTTGGCATTGGTTTACATTCTTGAACATAACGAAAAATAACGTCATATATATATATATATATATGTGTGTGTGTATGTGTAGATATATATATATATATATATACACATGAAAAATACATTTACAAAATTAGTATATACAAATTCAGGTCCAAAATGTTTGTCGTAGTCACTAAATAGCATAACTACGTAAGTGGCTATAAAGTCAGCGCAAGTTGGAACTGCTTCATGTTTTAGTAACAGTTTCTTGTTGAATCCGCCATTGAATTCGTGTCTTCCGCTGTCTTCCGTAAATGCGCAGCTCAGAGAGCTAAATTACGATCGTCATTTTCAGGAACTAATCGAAAAAAAAAAGTATCCATTGTTGACGAACTACAACGTCCGTGGGAAGCCTGAACACAGAAGGCCTGAGCTGGCAGAACATAACACTCGACGAACCGCAGAAATATGGCCATGCCCTTTTTTGCATATTTCGTAGGGAGGGTTGATGCAAATGTATGGGTTAGTGACGTCTAAAACCTGTTGTAGTCCCAATCGAGTCGTTTTTGTAGGCATTAAACTACCTGATTTTTAAAAGACGATATCTCTGCTTATGCTGAACTTTCAGCGCTGCAACTTTGCAGATACTGTTCATGCACCAACATCAACATTACACACTATTTAAAATGAAAAAAAGTGAAATTGCAATCAACCCCCCATTTAAGCCATTTTGGGTATGAGCACTTTCTAGGCAGACTATAATTTCTTACAGGATCCACACTAATGAATTCAGAAGAAACTTCTTGGAAATCAAAAGTTCACTTCAACAAGACAAACTCCAATTCCAAGTAGAAGTAATCATTTGGTAATTTTAGCCTAATAGTCTAGACTCATGCTAGAGAGTTAATTTACTGCCCAAGCATCTGCAACCGGCATCCTACTGATCCTGTGAGCACTATTTATGTATTTCAGACAGCCTGATGACTGATTGTCTCTTCAAGTGTCTGATTTTTCGTGGCCAGTTCTGTTCAGTAGTGTAATACTCCAAGAGAGTAGTTATAGGAACATGTTATCGAGGCTGTTCCTCCGGTCTGAGGTTATTCATCCATTTTTCCTATTTTGTTTTTAGCTGTCTGTGCCTTAGAAGCTTGTCAGCTGGTAAAATAGAAAATGGTTCCTATCACTTTTTTTCCTATCACCTATCACAATTTTCCTGTAATTGCTTTCCATCTTCAGACCTGAATACTTGCACCAAGCGGAACATTCAAAAACTGTCCAAGAATTGGTCTGTAGGGATTTCGTGTGGCTCAAAGCCCCATCAAATGTCTAAATGTCCTTTACCCCAACTTCTAATGCTCTTAGAGAAGAGAGGAGGGGGTGGATTTGCCTGGACTTTTTAGTATTGCTCTTTCCAAACTCATTGACTTTTAGTTTGCTTGCTTTCTGAAGCGGTAAAACCTTTATTATTCTTAAAGGTGACATATTATGCCCATTTTCACAAGACGTAATATAAATGTATGGTGTCCCCAGAATGTGTCTGTGAAATTTCAGCTCAAAATACCACTCAGATCATTTATTGTAGCTTGTCAAATTCACCCCTTTTCAAATGTAATAACACTGCATATAATCTTCACTGTACACATTATATAAAGGTCAATGATTATTAAAGTTACAAATACATTATTCAGTGAAGAGCAGGGCGTGATTTCTTTGTTTTTTGTAGTTTTAATTAACATTTAATGACAGATAACACAGCAGCAGGAATATTAGGCTGCTGTCACTTTTCAGACGAATACAAAGGCATAAAATATCTTTGTGTTTTAAAGATAAACGAAAGTCTAATGGATTTGGACATAAGGGTGAGTAAATTATGACAGAATTTTACATTTTTGGGTGAAATATCCCAACTCCAAACCTCTTTTTTGTACATTAATTCACTAATGGTAAGGCAAACCTTCGTGACTGTGTCCCCTTTTTTACTTACATCTGAGCTGTTAACAGGAAGTGTTAACCACAGAAAGAATGACACAACCAACTCAGTCAGACCTACACATCAGAGCACCAAAGCAAGGCTTTATGGAGCTTTTTCCCCTAGTATTCAATATTATTGTGTATGTTATAATGTTGTGTGTTCACTTTTGACATTTAAAATGATTTATTTTAGGTCTTAGTATTTATTTATTTATTTATTTATTGAGAGAGAGAGAGAAATTGTACTTAATTTTAATTTGGACCATTTATTAGTTATCTGCCATGCCACGAAAATAATCATCAGCTTTTAATATTGATGCATCCCTAGATAGGATGTTATTTTCCTCTTGAGTAATCAGCTACAACATAATTAAGAAATGGCATCATGCAGCTTGTGTACTGCCAAGGTTGCGCACACCAGTCAAGCGACTGCATATGAGAGGAATGAGAATGCTATCATACAGCACTTTCTTGGTATTTTAGACCTAGGGATGCACGATATATCGGCTAGCATATCGATATCGGCCAATATATGTTCATTTTTAATGTTATCGTTATCGGCCTGGTAAGAAAATGTGGCCGATATAGTCAAGCCGATAAATAATGTATTATTCCCTTCAGCTGAGACACTTGTTGAGCACTGTTGGTTTTTGAATTTCTTGAAATAGGATTGAAATCTCTTCAAAAAATGAAAATACGGTTCGGTACAACATGTGCAGCGCAAATCTGTCATATCGGCTATACAACACTATAACATGGACATGGATTTAATTGTGAGACTTTTGTTTTTGTAATCAGGCTCTCAAAATTAGATAAAAATTTGGATTTAAGTTTATCGCCCAATTTTCATATCGGTGCATCCCTATTTAGACCTTTTGGAGTAAACAGATCTATCACTAAACAGATCTATCAATGGTGTAGCGCTGTATAAATCACAGCTCACACAGAAGTCAATGTACAGTGGACCTTCGCCAAAGTTTTGGTAATGTCACTGCCCCTTAAAGGCACAATATGGACGATTTTTGGATTCAAATATTATAAATGTGATGTATTTTGTTGACTTGTGTACTTTCATTATCCCGAATGTTTAAAAACAGTTAAATTCCAGAGAAATCAGCAATTTTATCCAGTGCAACGGCCTGTGTCATGCCCTCGATTTCTGGTTTTACTTGTGAAAAACCATTGAAACTCAAAAGACGCTTTAAGTGATGAATTGTTAATGGTTAATTGCGAATCCTGTCGGATTGCTTTCCATCGGCTGTTGAGGTGAGGACGACAACTCCCATGAATCCACGCGTCATCATGCAAAATTTGCTTACTATTCTTTTTTTTTTCTTTTTTTGTTAAGATGACACAAGCCATATTTGCAGCTAGACATTCAAAATGATGCTCATTCAATGCATTATTAAGGCAATTAATACATCTTGTGATCATAGTGATTGCAAAATAAGGACAATTTAATGTCAGTCTTGTTAGTCCATGCATGCATTTTTGGCGTCATCTGTAATCTTAGCAAATGAAGCTGGGTGCACACAGTGGATCTGGTAAAACCACAGAATCTCATTCATCTCTATGGCTAGTAAATAAGCCCAATGACATGGTAGAAATGAGCGTTGGTGCAGGAAGATATATAGCATTAGTCATACTTTCTCAGTGGTTTACCCACTGCATATATAACGAAATGTTTGTCAGATGTAAGGAATTGCTGTTAGCCAATCAGACTATGAATTCAGTTTTATTTCCAGTGACCTTAGTACTTCTGACATTTACTACCAGGAGCTTTGTGTACACGAGGTAGGAGGAAGCACGTGTAGAGTGGGAATGCTGTGACAAGCTGTTGCCGTTTGCAGATATACTTCGAAATTACCTAAATTAGGGTTTAATGAGCCAGTCATTTGAAGACCTAAGCTTTGAAAGTCTTCAGAGGACACTCAAATGATAACATCAAATATTTTGAATATTGAGTAGTGAACTAAAACTTAACTCATCATGTCTTATTATGGAACAAAGTTTGTTGCAGAGCTCTTTGAAGTTGTTTTTCAACGATACTTAATTCATCGAGCTTATTCATTTGAGATGATGAAAAGACAGGGATCCTCATTTGAAGCCAGCTAAATGTGTCTCCTTTGCTAACTTTGAGTTTGCAAATGAGTTTAAGGCTGTGTTCCAATTTATGAATTTATAAGCCAGCTTCTGATTGGCTGTTTGGGAGGAACATTATTGATCGTGTCTGGAGGCTTGGCGATAAAACCCAGGGTCACTTCATCGCCGAGCGAGTGGGTTATCTAATCACACAGCAGTGCTCTGACGATGTCTGTCCTAAACCCAACTTGCACAGCCGGCTCAAAACGCAAACAGGCTATCGACCAGCTTGCCCCGGATGGGGTGGTATTGACTGACCCTCACAGAACTGTGACTGGGTCTGCTTGTTCCTTCATGCTTGCATAGCTCCAGTTCAACAGCAGTAATAGACACAGACCCTGACCCATTGGCATTCTCCATGTCAAATTTCACTGTATGTCGCAGCACTGCTCTAGCAATTAGCCCCTAGGATTATTCTCAAATGACTTGGATGATAATGGAAGCTTTCCTCGGTTGTTTCCAGATATGCACACACGTATTAGTATAATGCTCTCATCACTTTGTTTCCAAAGAAACGCAGCCTTTGAATCATTTGGTGCATTTGGTCACAGTTGGTGGCTCGGTCTTCAGCAGATAAGCTTTGCATTTCCTGCCTCCGTTGTAGGTTAGGTTCAGGGAGTTCACGCCACAACAATTGATGTGGTGAATTAACTAAAAGAAATTAGTTTAGTCTCTTTCAGTGCTTTGGATTTTTAGTCGAGTCGTTCCCTGATTAGATCTCACATCCGTAAATTATCTGAATGGATGGCCCCCAATCTGTTTTTCCTATTGATATGTTGGGAAGTGTCTGGCTCCCTAATGTTCCATGTCAAGGCTGCCGTCTGTCCAAAGTGTGTCATTGAGTCTGTTGTGTCTTTCGGATAGATAAAACTTAATGTTTCCTGATTAAAAAAAAAAAAAAAAAAAGATTTAACAGACACAAGCTGATACAGGCCTATGAGCAACAAGTGATATGCCTGGTTTAGAATTGTTACAATGAAAATTAACGTCACAGTCATTTAATAAAGCTGATTTGATTCAGAAATAACCTAGAGCAGTGAAAACCCATATGATTGTGTACAATATTATATTTGTATTTATAAAACGGTTAGTTTGAATCCTTGATTCTGATTGGTCAAGAGCTGTGCTTTATTCACGATAAAACATGGCTATGACCACTTCACCCAACGGTTATATTGACCGCTGCACAACACTGTGGTTCTATGTTGTTTTTATTTGAGCTTTCATGCATTTTACACATTGGAACGTTGTTGCTGTTCACGCTCAGGGACTATTTTTTGCTAGCAGAAAGAAGGCTTTTAGTGATTTTATTTCAAGAAAGTTGCACTAATACATTGATTTTACTTTAATATTGTGTGGCAACCGTTTTATAAAAGCAATAAGGTACTCGAGGCAAGTGCTGTATCGTGAATAAGTAACGGCTGAAAGGGTTACAGGCACTCTGCTTCGCATCGTGCCTAACAACGCCCTTCAGCCGCTACTTCTTCACGATACAGCACAGCCTCTCGTACCTTATTGCTTACGTATTTTTACTATTGAGAATATGAGATTTCTATTTGGGTTGGTGGCAAAAAATCTTTTTAAAAATGCTTGTGCCTCAGATATGCCACATGGGCTAAAAATTTGGGCTTTTTCAAGAAATGTTCAATTTAAGGACATGTCATGTTGTGTAGCCATCAAGTAGAAAGTAACATTCTTTCTTAATATATCATTATTATTTTCTTTTAATAATAAATTATATAATGTGGACTCAGGCGCATGGCATTTTACAGCCTGAACTATACTTGGCCATTACATTATTGTTGGCCAGTTTGGCTTGCAGTAGATTTTCTACTCTAAACATGTTTGAATCAGCCATTAAAGAGAACTCATGGGAGTGGTTAACATGGGACATCTTGATGCCTCATAATGGGATTTTTATGGGCCTCTGCACTTACTAGAGTAGAGTAATGGCCAGCTGATATGATCAATTGTCCATGTTCCATACATGGTCCTCAGTTTTGTTTGTTCCGTGTGCTTTTCAACTTCCTGCATTAGTCACACACCTCTCGAGGGTAGCAGATCGATTGAGTGGTAAAGTAAAAAGGGGTATACATCATGTAGCTAAACAATTATAAATAATTTAGATTATGATTATTGTTATGATAAGTAGAGTGTTGATTTATGTCTACATGTTGCTTCAGAGATTCTGTGTATAAGTAAATAGTAGTTTTGTGATAAAAAGCACACACACACACACACACTCATATATATATATATATATATATATCATATATTATATATAATAAAAAATATGTGCTTGTGTACTTACTGTGTTCAAGTTGTATTGCAAAACACGCTGCTTGAGACGGGATACGGGTAAGGTTATAGGGACATGTTTAGTTTTAAAACTCAACTTTAAAAATCATCTTTTAGATATTGATCTTAATGCCTTAATTAGAAAAATGAGAAACTCCAACCTTTAAGGACACAATATTTTTTTTTTTTTTTTTTTTTTTTTTTGTAAATGAATAATGTATCATAAATAAATAAATGTTTTTCCTTAAAATACAGGGTGCATAAGTCAGGACACCCCTATGTTAAATTCCCATAGAGTCAGGCAGATTTTTATTTTTAAAAGCCAGTTATTTCATGGATCCAGGATAATATGCATCCTGATAAAGTTCCCTTGGCCTTTGGAATTAAAATAGACCCACATCATCACACACCTTCCACCACACCTAGAGATTGGCATGGGGTACTTTCCATAAGATCATCTTTCAATGCAAATCAAACCAGCTATAGGCTAACTGAAGTAAAACTATGCCAATCTCAAGGCATGGTGAATGGTGTGTGATGATGTGGGGATATTTTAATTCCAAAGGCCAAGGAAACTTTATCAGGATGATTATTATCCTGGATCCATGAAATAACTGGCTTTCAAAAATAAAAATCTGCCTGACTCTATGGGAAATTAACATAGGGGTGTCCTGACTTATGCACCCTGTATTTTAAGGAAAAACATTTATTTATTTATGATACATTATTTATTCACAAAGAAAATTTGTGTCGTTAAAGGTTGGAGTTTTCCTCATTTTTCTAATTAAGGCATTAAGATCAATATCCAAAAGATGTTTGTTTTTTATTCCTCTTTTTAGGCAACTTTAGCATGGGTGTCCAAACTTATTCACATCACTGTATTATGTAAACACAAACTTTTATTTTGGATGCGATTAATCGCGATTAATCGTTTCACAGCTAGACAATAAGCAACAATTAAGATTTTTGTTATAGTCATGATGTGGACTAATGCCATTTGGGTGTTTTTTTTTTGTTTCTGCAGAAGAATGACCGGACACTCTTTCCACATGGGCTATAGTATGGCAATACTCAATGGAATAGTGGCTACTCTCACTTTTATATGGTATCTCACCTGATGCACCTCAACTACTGCTCAACTGCGGAGACTTCAACTGTCCGAGTTTAATAGCTGGAGGGACTGTGAAATAATGTTACTAATATAATATAACTACAGCTAAAAACAAATAAGCATTTTCACTGAATAAAACAGTAAGTAAAGTACATGTAGAAAAGACTGTAAAAAAGAAAAAAAGGTGGACACTTTTTTTGAGCTTCAATCTGTTGGTTGCAATCCACTGCCATTATCAAGCTTGGATGAGCCAGGACATGTATTATTATTAACTCGTCATACACATCTAGGATGGCTTGAGGGTGAGTAAATCATGGGGTAAATTTAATTTTAATCGCTCCCTTTAATCGCAAGCACAGCTGTCAATCATAACGTTACACCCATTTTTAATACCATCAAAAAACCTAACTTAAAACAAACACTTCATTCATCAGTGTGATAAGAAACCATCTTTGGAAAAAATGTATTTGAAGTGTAATTAGGATTTTTTTTTTTTTTTTTTTTTTTTTTTTAGTTTGGTTTCAAGTCCCATTCTATTACATGGGAGTGTGCAGGGTTTTTGAGCTATACTGCAGCCAGCGATTAGCAGGTAAATGTTTTGGTCTCTTTTTTTTTTTTTTTTTTTTTTTTGAGCTTTTCTCATATTTTCATATGTTAATTTGACACATTCAATAAACGCATAATGAATTTTTTATTATATAAATAACATTAGGGATGTCAGGGTCTCTTTGTTACCCAGATATTTTGTCTGATAAAAGGCTTTTATTACAGAATCCCGTTGCAGCAGCTTTTTACCATTATAATAGCAGTGCATTAAATCTTTTTGCCCTTTTGATGTCATTCATTCAGTGGGACAACACAACATACAGTAGATGCCGTTTAAGTCTTTCTAAATAAATTGAATGGGCATTTTATGACCTCCTCTTAGCAAAGACTAGAGTCCCTTTGCTGTCATGCTTTATTAAAGCTGGAAGTTGCTGCTCTATTGAGGGTTTTGATGGGGGAAATCATTAATACAATAGCTGTTTTGGGGTTGATGGAGAGTGACAGTGTTGAGGCTTTGTTGAGAGCCTGGGAGAAGGTCAGAGAGTGTAGAAGTGGATTTAATTTATGACTTTAATTATTTGATGCAGACTCTGCCAGGCCATGATTACTTTTTTCTTCTTCATTGAATTAGCAGGCCCTGTAGCGACTCTTTTCAGCTTGCTCTAATGCACTGATCTGTGACTTGTATATATGGAGTATTAATATACCGCGCCTCTCTGAGTGTATGTGGCTCTGATAATTTGTTTTCATTTACAGGACATTTCCATCTCCATTTTAGTACATTTACGCCCAAAAATGAAAATTCTGTCTTCAATTACTCACCCTCATGTCGTTCCAAAACCCTTACGATTTTCGTTCCTCTTTGAAATGAAGATGTTTTAATGAAATCTGAGAGCTTACTGTCCCTCCATTTCTGTCCCATCCATATAAAGCGATTGAGTCTCTTCAGAAAATTTACTAAACCGCCTCAATTCATCTGAGAATTCAGATTTCCTTTTAAAAGGTTTTCATTTTGTTTTGAAGATGAAGTCTTACGGTGTTGGAACAACATAAGGGTGAGTAATTGAAAACTTTTTTTTTTTTTCATTTTTGGGTGAACCAACCCTTTAAGGGATCGTTTACCCAAAAATGAAAATTCTGTCATTAATTACTTGCCCTCACGTGGTTTCAAACCTGTAAGACTTTCGATCAACTTTGGAGCACAAATAAAGATCTTTTTGATGAAACCTGAGAGCTTTCGATCCCTCCGTTGACCCCTACACAACTACCACTTTGACGCTTCAAAAAGTCCAAAATTTAGTCCAAATTTTCTGAAGAGACTTGATTGCTTTATATGATGAATATATTTAATTTAGGATTTTATGTACAGATACACATTGATCAGCAAACATATACAGAAGCTTAACTGACGCTGCTTGACGCGCGAGAACAAACCTCTTGCAGAAGTTCAAGCGTGCAGCGTAACACACGAGAATGAATCTCATTGGTTTTTGCACGGGAAGCGAACATGCTTGAATTTCAGTTGACTACAACAGATGTGTGAGTTGATGAATGTTTATACACTCTAAAAAATGCTGGGTTGTTTGTACCCAAATTTGGGTAAAATATGTACAAACCCAAATGTTGGGTTAAAAATGCAATTAAAAAATGTACAGTTGACAGTGAAAGTTTTAAAGGGTTCGTTCACCCAAAAATGAAAATTCTGTCAGTATTTACTCACCCTCATGTTGTTCCAAACCTCCATGTGTTTATTTGTTCTGCTGAACACAAAGGAAGATATTTGGAAGAATGTTTTAATCAAACAGATCTCATTCCCCATTGACTAACATGGTATGTATTTTTCATGTTAGTCAATGGGGAATGAGATCTGTTTGATTAAAACATTCTTCCAAATATCTTCCTTTGTGTTCAGCAGAACAAATAAACACATAGAGGTTTGGAACAACATGAGGGTGAGTAAATACGGACAGAATTTAAATTTTTGGGTGAACTAACCCTTTAAGTTGGGTTAAAATGTGAAATTACTTTTTTAAC